TATAATTTTACTCTGTTTAATGATGACTTGACAAAAGACTTGACTTCCTCCCCAACTCCCCCCCCAAATACTCACATTGTTATTCTTATAACATTTTGAAGTAGAAGAGAGCAATCCTTCCCACATCTTCAAATATGCCCTGGTGGAGAAGTATTTCTGAGGTGGGCAGTGGATCCTATGGAAGGATGCCATTGCCATTGATATGAAGTGAGGCCTACTGTCTTAGTTACTTTTCCCGGTGCTGTGATGAAATACCTTAACAAAACAATGGAAGGAAGAGAGGGCTTATTCTGGCTCACAGTTTAAGGGCACAGTTCATCATGTTGGGGAATTCATGGCAACAGGGGCTTGAGACAATGGGTCACATTGCATCCATAGCCACGAAACACAGAGATTAACTGCTTGTACTCAGTTCACTTTCTCCTTTTTTCTTTTTTAATGCTTCTTATTCTTTGAGATTTTCATCCATGTATACAATGTATCTTGGTCTTATCAACCCCCCCCCCAGTCAACTCCCCCTAGGACTCCTCCAACATCTCTTGCTGCAAATTTCATGTCATCTGTCTGTCTGTCATCTATCATCTCTTTATTTTTGAGCCAACATCTCATTATGTGGCCCTGGCTGGTCTGGAACTTGCTATGTAGACCAAGCTGGCCTCAAACTTCCCAAGATCTACCTGCCTCTACCTGCCTCTGCTCTTGAATGCTAGGATTAAATGCTCTAGCCACCATGCCCAGCCCTAGTTATGTTTTTAACCCACTGAATCCATATGTTTATGGGTGTGGGGTCATCACTGGAGCATGAGCAACCTGCCAAAACTCCCCCAAAGAAAAATGACTCCTTCCCACAGCAGCAGTAAATTGCCAATAGCTCCTCAGCTAAGGGGGGAGCAATGGTAGCCTCTCCCCATCCATGCTGCAATAATTTTTTGTTTTGTTTCTGTTTTTTGACACAGGGTCTTCCTTTAACCCCAGGCTGACCTGGAACTTGGTAGCCTAACAGGTATCTTCCTGCCTCTGCCTTCCAAGTGCTGCTAAGTGTGCCACCATGCCCAGATCATGCTAGGATTTCTAACTGGTTTGAGATCTCAACCCAGGAAAGGATGCCACCCTATTGGGTAGGTCTTCCCACCTCAATTAACATAATCAAGAGGCTAGCAGCCATATCCAGAGGCTAGCCTAACCTAGATAATTCTTCATGTGTTTGCCCAGAGGCTTGTCTCCTAGGTGATTGTAGATCCTGCAAGTTGACAACACTCTTTATCACATCTGCCTACTTCTTGAGTCTGGCCTTTGTTCTCTGCAGATACCTGAATGTTGATCTCCCTTGCCGATTCTGTGATCCACATACTAACTTTAGTAGGCACAAACTGTTCTGGTCCAAGCAAGACAGAACAGGAAATTCTAGTCCCAAGGCTATATTTTTGAAGAAATCTTATAGGTAGAGTGATTCTAGGAGTATCCTAATCTTCTGGTACATTTGGAGCACTTAAGAAAGAAAGAAAAATAAATAACACTCCTCACCTTCCTTAGAAAAGCTGACACATAGGCATGCTCTAAACCAGCTGGAAGACCAGGAGCAAAGCAAAAAACTGTTCCTTCACTTATAATTATTAGTTGGCAAAATGTTCCACATCTGGGTACCTGCAGCTTATGATATGTGACAATATATTCAGGTACCCTGACACTTTCTTGGGGCACATTGGTGTTATATAAGAAGTGCCAGAAATCTCAACTGCCTAGAAGAAAAAGGGGTGAAAAACAAGCTACTTCAAATGGATTCAAAAGAATGTGGAACATGGGATTAGGACATCTGAACAAGGAGCAGTCATGGCTATTTGTGACCATGTGTAGTGCAGATTCATTGGGCAAATCATGTGTTTTGTCCATTCTCAAGACCACTTTATAGAACCAGAATCCTTATTCCAAGTGCTATTTGTTGGTATTTATCAGAGAGAATCAGTGGGATTTTATTGAAAACATTATTTGGAACTTTGCAGCTCTGGCTCCTGTTGGAAGAGTTAACCATTTCTGCCAAACTATCTCCTTGACAATTAATGAGGATAGGGTACTGTGTTCCAACCCAACTAAAAAAGATAGGCCCTTAGAAAATACTTCATTATTGCGATTTCTGGATTATTTACTTTGTAATCAGTCTTTGTAAAGTTTTATTTTTTTGTAAAATTGGACCTTGAATTTTTTTATTTTTGTGGGGGCTCTGCAGTAACATTTTGTGTTTCATAGTTCTGTGTAACCATATGTCCAATCAGCTTGACCCCAACTGAATCTGCCAGAACACCTATTCCATTTCTCATACAGCCCACACATTGAATCTGGCAAACACTGATGTTGTTTGGAATAGGATGAGTCAGTACTTTTGACTTAGGACAAACTTTTGTTGCTGTGTTTGGCTAAAAATTATTGGATATTGTCATGAAGGAAAAATGGATCAAAGTTTTAATCGATCAGTATGGCCTTCTCCTCTCCCCTCATGTCCTTGTACTCTGGAATGGAGGTGGCGGGCATCTGGCAAAAATGCCACTTTGCCAGCTATGTTCAAGGCTCCCCTGTGACCAGATATTGTGAACTTCATTCATACCAACTTCATGGAAATAATAGAGGGCTCTACACTGTCAGTATATTAGGAGGTCATCAGACCACTGCTGAGTCTTGGGGGTA